CTTTCCTGAGGTTCTCAACATCCCCGCTGGTGAAACTCGGCGGTTGGAGTTGATTGTCCATCCTCGCCGAGATGCTCCAGTGGCGAGTTCCATTATTGGTCCTAGTGTGGTTCCCTCAGCTAGTCAAGCGTCTTCGGCGACTTCATTGGCAGACTCGGCTGCGGCTCCAGTCAGCTCAGCGGCGGTAACAACCCAGGCTGAGCCGACTCTTGCTCAGCTTCACCGTACGCCTTTGGCAAGCTTGACATCGACTCAGCGGCTTCGGCGTTATGCCAACCCCAAGTCTCCCACTGCTGCAGGTCCTCGTCATCGTGCACCGGCGCCGCATCCGCCTCAACCGTACGCTTGTCCACTCCCCGGAGAGGATGGACACGAGGCTATCAGTACCCTTTTGCACTCAAGTTCACCTCAAGCTACTGTATCCAATGGAGGAAGGCCTCGCTCTGGAAAGTCCCGTCGTCGGACTCGGCGGAAGAAGGTTCGTCACCTTGAGCTGAGTTCTGCTACTCAGCCCGCTGTCTCTGCTCGCTCTGAAGACGACGATGACGCTTCGAGCGAAGCTGAGTTTGAGTTTGAGTTGCCTGAGCCGCCCGCCGACACCGCTCCTGCAGTTGCTTCGACGACTTCGGCGGGTTCTTCGTCTTCTGGTCCTCCGGTGACTTCGTCAGTCGCGGCTACTCGCCCACCGCCGATATCTTCATCCGATGTCGTGGCTTCACTGCCTGTCCCGGCTACTAGCGTGTGTGCCCCAGGCTCGACTTCGCCCATCTCCGCTGGGTTGCCCCAGTCGAGCGCACCACTCAGCGTCGTGCTAACGGTGGTTGGACGCTCCCAGTCGCCCTCTCGGGGTCTGAGCGTATCCACCACGCCGACTGACTTAGTGACTCCGGCCGTGAGTGTCCTCAGACCGTCTCTCCCTGTGACCACGGCCGTGTTGACGTCCCCATCTGGGCGCCCTATCCGGAGATCTGCTGCGACCGCCCGCACTGTGACTGCTCAGCTGCTTGAGGATCTCGACGCGTCTGACGACGAGGTGTTAGGGCCTGGTGATGGTTCTGTACCGTCCACCGGCTCGACGAATCCTGCCGCTGGGTCGCTCTTGGATCCCATTTCCTTATCAGAGAACTCGGCTGGCAGTCCTTCAGGTTCCGACTCAGCGACCGCAGATGCTCGTCGTTCTGCTCAAGCGAGAAGTCTTCATGCGGCGATCTTCGGTTCTGACGACGAGATGAGCGATGAGTCCTTGCCGCCGAGTGATCGCCACTCCTCGCGGCCTTCATCGAAGGATTCTGGTGACGGGACGAGTTCTGCCTCTGCGCCGGCTTCGGGGAAGCAGCAGCATCGCAAACGTCGTGCTTCGACGAGTCCTACCGGTCATCGGTCGAAGCGATCCAAGAAGCACAAGAAGCACAAGAAGTATCACAAGACGCACCGACACCACAAGCATCGGCAGCTTCCGTCGACTCCTGATCCAGCTCCGGCTCAGTCCATTCCGGCTGCTTCTTCGCCGAGTAGGCTCCCGGTTATATCGATTCTCTCTCAGCCGAGTTCGTCTGCTTCACGTCCGGCTGTGGTCGCACTTCCCAGCGCTCTTACACTCCCGCTGGCGACGTTACGGACTCGGGCCTCGCGAGCGGTGTCCCAGGATTGTCGCCTGACTCTTCACATGGCTCAACTCCGCGAGGTACCATTCATGCATTTCGGCTCAACTCGTTGTTGGAATGCATTATTGGATACACTGAGCGGAGGGGTGCAGATGGAGCTCGTAGGGGGCAAGAGTCGTGTTCCACCTACGCCGTGTTCTCTTGACGGCATTCGAGCTTTCATGGCCGTTTTCGACCCGAGCCATCCTTGTCAGCGTCTTCGGCGGATGCTCCCTGAGCTTCCTTTCTTCTTTTCTCCGTCGATACTGGAGGAAGCTCGGCGATGTTTGGCTTCTCAAACCCGGCCTCGAACTTTGATGCAAGTTCTTGGAGATATGTGGGTGAAGCTTCGTGGCGACAGTCCCTTGGACTCGGCGGGAAGGCCCATCCAGACAGATGGCCAAATGACTCGTTACTTCGTAGCTCTCTATGAGCGTCGTCATTGGATTGTCGAGTCGAGTGTGTTAATGGGTCTCTATCCTGACGTCAACCCGGCTGCCACGCCCGCCCAGCTTGCTGAGGTATACGAACTGTGGCTGGTGTACAAGCGCGAGCGCAAACGTCGTAGTGACACCTTGCGATCTTTGGTTGTTGCTGTCTACGACCAGCTTTACTCGGCGGTCACTCAGAAGCTCGGCGATGAACCTGCTCCACTGGTGGACGCAGAGGTCTATTTTTATCCGTCCGTTCCCCATTACTCTCCCGTTAACCTTTCGTGGGTTCCTTCCGGGAGAGACTGGGTCCAGTGTGCTCACGATGTGGATCTAGCCGAGCCCTGGCGAGCTTGGTGGCTTACTGACCCGGCGGTCCATCCGTACAATACTTGCTTCCGCGCTCGGAACGTGGACTTCTTGGTTTTCGCTCCGCGCGGTATGGATCCTCAGGTTGTTGACGACGCGATTGAAGAAGATTTTGATCTTGCTGAACCAGCGCCTCCTGCCTATGCCCCGGGTGCTCCAACTCGGCTGAATCGTCAAGGCATCCATATCTTCACTGGGTCTTCGATCGGTGAGCTCGGCTCAGATGGCGAGAGTGCGTCTGATGACTACTCGGCGGACGATGGGTTAGGTTCTCCTAATCTCCGAGGCGCGTCTCCGAGTATGTCTCCGTTCGGCACCCCACTCCCCAGTGGAACGGATCCTCAGCCCACTTCCGCCGCGTCGGGTCCTGAGACACCTGGTTCGGCGTCAGCTTCGTTGGCTAGCTCGGCGATGATACTTCTTGCCACGCCTGCGAATGTTGCATCTCCTTCCGCAAGTTCCCAAGGGATGACGTCTGCTACGACGCCACGCCCCCAATCGTCGAGTCCGCTGAGCTCTTCCCAGCTGTCTCCGTCGGGTTCAACTCACTTGGAATCCGGATCGCCGACCTTTTAGTTCTCTTCCTTTGACTGGGCGTCCCGTAGGTATCGTTCAGGACTTCATTTCGTAATTATTCAGTATATGTAGTTTCGACACAGTAGCATTCTGTCTCAACTCGGCCTGTGTCGTCCGCTGAGTTGATGTAACTTTTGGTGCAATAGCTGTTAATCCTCATCTGCAACTTGCACCATTTGCAGACGGTTTTCGCGCTTCTTCTGTCGTAGATAGTCAAACAGGAGACCCCCACATGACAAATTCGACAGTTCCCAAGTAGGCTCATC